TTTACCAATTACAATAGCTCTTTGTATGTTTATACTTCTCAACTCAAATTATAAGTTCATCTCAATAGTAAAAAACTCATTCTCAACTCAAATTACTGTTAACTTATAAGTTACTGTTAAATTTAAGTTAACAATAAACTAAAACTCATTCTCAACTCAAATTACTGTTAACTTATAAGTTACTGTTAAATTTAAGTTAACAATAAACTTAAACTTAAGTTCACTGTTAACTAAAATATTATTAACTTAAGTTTACTGTTTACTTAAACTTAAGTTTACCATCAACAAAAAACTTAATATTAACTTAAGTTTAAACTTAAACTTAAGTTTAAACTTAAACTTAAGTTTAAACTTAAACTTAAGTTTAAACTTAAACTTAAGTTTACTGTTAGTTTAAACTTAAGTTTAACTTAAACTTAAACTTAAATTTACTGTTAACTTACACTTCTTAAGTTTAAGTTACTGTTGTTAACTAACTTAAATAGATATTTAAGAAGTATTATTTACCTTGTTAGTAGTACTTACAGAGATCGGGGGAGCTCGATAATGTCACAAAAGACGCTAGGCAGACTAGGCGTTTGAGCAAGCGCCTAACGCCTAGACCCCTGGGCGTAAGTCTAGGCAGCGCTTAGACGTTTAACTATTTTTAAATTATTTAATTATAATAATTGATAAAAAATATGTATTAAATTCATATAAATTTTTTAAAAAAATAGCAATATTAGTTCCATAATAAATCATGCATACTTAAATACTAAATATCCAAAATAATAATTAATAAGGTTAGAGCCTAAGATATTTTTTTTTAATTACAATAATTGATAGTGAATGTCAATGTTATAGAAAACTTAGATACCGGACTAATGTCTAGGCAGATTTCTTTCTTCATTTAAGTGGTGGTCGATGAGGTTTTGTTGAAGGTCGGAAGAGGTAGTGGAGGTGTTCATATTTGGAGGTTAATGGTTGGAGGACATGTAAGCTACAATACATAAAATCACAACCAAGACCTACAGGGTGCAATCCACGTAAGCAGACAATGCTTTCCTAAATGCTCGTAAAATCTAGGTGGGCAGATTTGGAGGTTAATGGAGTTTGGAGGACGTGTAGGCTACGACACATAAAATCACAATCAATGCCTACAGAGTGCAATCCACGTAAGCAAACAATGCTCCCCTAAACGCTCGTAAAATCTAGGTGGGCAGCCTAAATACCGCCTAGGCGCTAGGCGCTAGTTAGGCGGCCTAGATACCGCCTAGGCCTAGGCGTACGTCTAAGCGGACTAGGCGGAGGTTTTTTAAAACAGCGATAATGAGATTTCTCAAAAATCTACTATGCCAACAGAACAACAAGTGAAAGGAGGTACAGTTGTTAACCCTGCTTCCATTGATAGGGGAGGGAGTCCTTCGTCCTCTAATTAATGCAATTTGCATTTTAGAATGTTAGGCTTTAATAAACCTCTAAGACATCATCTAGTCAAAAAAAATATTTTCCAATATCATTTGTTTATATTAGTTTTATTAGAAACAAGAGTTAAGAAGAATAAAGGAGATGCTATAAGGAGATGCTATCTTTAAGAAATTCCCTTCTGGTTGGTGTTTGATGGAGAACTATGATATGGGAGAAGTTGGGTATTATAGGACTCTGATGTGATGGAATTATCTTCTCTTTCTCTAAGTAATCACTATATATCCTGCCTTATTAAATATAAAGATGAGAGCTTATGTTCACTGTTGAAAAATAGCGGTAGCTAGCGCCGCTATAGCAGTTTGGATAGCGGTGGCGGCACTATCCTGCTATATTATTGGCAATAGCGACTGAGTTTAGTGGAGTTTGTGCTATTTGCTTGCAATAGCAGCAAATAGCATGATTTAGCAGCAATTAGCGCTTTAAAGCACTTTTTAACTTCTACTTGGGTTCATTTTTTTTACCCCAACCTGACCCAAACCCGACCTTTATTTCACTGCTTTGTTTCACTCTCCCCTCTCCGACTTGAACTGAAACACCAAGAGAAAAAAAACCTAGATCACCATTCACCGCCTCTTTCACTTCTTCTACCAATTCTGACGCCACCACTCATCTCCGAGCCTCTCATCGCTGCCTCTCATCTCCAAGCCTCTCTACTGCCGCCTCCACCACCTCCTCATCTCAAAGCATCTCTACCGCCACCTCCACCACCACCTCAGCTCAAAGCTCCTCTACCGCTGCTTCCTAAGCATCTCCAAGCACCTCTTCCTCACCTCAGCATCTCTGAGCTCTACCACCACCTCAACTCTCCTATCGCGGCCTTCACCACTGTGCTTTGTTAATATTATGTGATTGTTACACATCTATTTCATGTTTAGGATCTCTGTAAATATTAAACATGCATTCATTGAATTTTAAGATTTTTCTTAAATTTTTCTTATTCAAAATGTTACACGTTTATTTCATACTTAAGATCTCTATAAATCATCAAATATGCATTCGTAGAATTTCTAGACTTTTTTTAATTTTTTCCTCTTTTTTTTTGAATATTTATACATATTTAAACTGGAGTGTTTTTTGACTTTGTATTTTTTACCGTTGTAACCCCAAATAGCCTTAGCAGTGCTCACCACTACGCCATGCTATCTGTTTTCCACAACGTGTGACTTCCTTTGTTTATGCTTTTAATCAGCTACACAGATAGTTTTAAACTTATATGCTGAAATGTAGAAGATGGTTTTTCTTTCTAATTTTTAAAAGATAGTTTTTCTTTCTAAATTTTTAAGTAGGAAATAAAAACATTCAGTGAAGAGCTACTGGTGTCGTACAGTAGTAGAACAACGAGTCCAATATAGCAATTTTAATGGAGTACTCAGGGTATGTTTTGTTCCTTATAATATTGAATGTTTAAATGCATGTCCAATTACTAGTTGGAGGCATACTACAGTGTTTAGGTAACTTGTATTTTTAAAATTTCTATGTCACTAAAACAACCATTAATCACTATTTATAACTATTTTAAAAAAGCTTTATATTTGTTAAAATTATGTGGTTATGACAAATAAGTAGATGCGACAGGATGGCTACAATTACACGCAAATCCTAAGGTGTAATAGCCTAATAGGAACTTTGCTCAATTTTGAGTATCCATTGTTTTAAATATCCCCGATATAGCTAATATATCCTGCCACAAGGTTTGCTGCAAAATAATATGGTCTCAATATCCTCTACCGTCTATTGCTATTTGACAATTTTTAGGTGACACATCAGTCAATATGTTGACCAATATGACCTATATATCAGTCAATATGTTGACCAATGTGGTTCGATCTATCAGTCAATATGTTGACCAATATGTCCTTTTTATATGGCTCGGTACTAAATAATATAATTCTACAAAATTTCTTCAATATTTTAAAGCAAAATTTTCAGCCCTATGAAGTTTTTTAGCAAACTTCAATTTTTAGCAAACTTCAATATTGCTTCAAATTTTGGGTGATGTATGTTTTAGATTAGATTTTAGGACATATGCTATTTATGCACATCATCTGATATGGCACTCTGATACTTATTACATATCCCCTATATTTCCTCGACATACGTAATTCAATATGAATTTTGGTCGTCCAATATTTCCATGTATCTGATATTTAAACCTTATGAATATCCCATTCGACCAATATCACTAAAGCCAAGTCGAAGAAGCAATATACCGTATGGCTCTTAACTGATATACACCATAAACATTGTAGTTATAATGTGATGATTTTTTCATCATAGATTCTCAAGCATAAGACATAACTCATCAAGCCCAGTAAGATACTGAAATTATTGTGAGGAAAGAAGAAAAAACAAAAGAGGAAAAAAAAAGACTCTACAAAGAGAGAAAAAAGATCACCTCCTTGACAGTCTTATAATCATTTAAAGGGTCCTCTGCAGCAGCATCGACAACATGAACTAACAGCTGAGTTCTCCTTAAATGTCTCAAGAAATTACGACCAAGACCCTATAATACAAAGATTTTTATTATGTAAATCAAACATTCCGGACGCCTAAAGAGACTAGTATAAAATGATTCATGATTACCAATACCTTTCCTAAATGAGCACCTTCAATTAAACCAGGCAAATCTGCTAATGTTGCTTGAGAGGAAAACTTCAGTGCCCCTAAAGTAGGATCACCATCAAGACGTCCAAGGTTTGGCATCAAGGTTGTAAAAGGGTAGTCGGCAATGTCTGGTTTTGCCAGAGTTAGTGCTCCCAAAAGAGTTGATTTTCCGGCATTTGGGAGTCCCTGGAGAAGGAACAAAGAAGAACATATTGAAGCAAGGAACATTGATGCCTAAAATTTCCCAACAATTTCAATAATAATGTTGAACAGCAGTTCAGAAACTTACTTCTGCATCAATCACCATAGTTAATCAATAGGATGCAACCACTTCTAGAAATTTATATTAGAATTAGCTTGTATTTATGGAAGAATATTATGTGGTCATGTGGCATCTGAATAATTCACCTTATTTACTATATTTGATTTGACATACTGAAATACCATACTTCCCATCCATGAGATCAAAAAGGACTGGAAGCACTAAGGATTTTACAGGCAAATATATGCACAAACGGATCTAAAATTGAGTGCACTCACATAAACTGGCGATCAGGAACCCAAAAAAATTAGCATGACCAATTAATATATGAAAAATCCTCAGAAAGGGAAGGGCATTCACTTGGATTAGGGGCATGAAAAGGAAGGAGAAAAACAAAAGGTTAAATCATTTAATCCTGATCCACCGATACCGCAATACCAATATTATCCTAGAGGAAAACTCTAAAGCAGACAAGGAAATACATCAATTTCCACTCAAATGAGCAGCAGCCTGCTATACCTCTGGGCTTGTGAACAAGTTCAGTGTAGGATATTCCATGAAAATATGCACTATCTTTCATCATATTTGATGAAAAAACAAACCAAGCATCAAACTTTTAATGTCGTAAAATAGATTGGCAAAATGTCGATGGAGGTCCCTGATGTATTAGTCAAGTATCATATGGGTCCTTGATATTTAGAAATCATCAGCAAGGGTCCCTAACATTACCTTCGTCATCAGTCTAGATCATTTTACAGATTTCTGTTAAATCTTGTTGACTCTGCCATGTGACTACCACATCAGCAAAAAAATTAGTGAAAGTCTAAATTTGCCTTGTCAGTCACTGCCACATCGGCAAAAAATTAATGAAAATCCATCTTTGACCTGTCACATTGGTAAAAAAAAGTGGTGAAATTACAAGTTTGTCCTATCATGTCACTGCCATGTCAGCAATATTTAACGTAAGTTTGTAAAAAGGACCTAAGCTGATGACGGAGGTGATGTTACGAACCTCGGTTAATCACTTCCAAACATTAAGGACTCAAATGATATTTTGGCCAATACATCAGGGACTTCAACTTAACTTTTGCTTAGATTGGTTCATTCTTCATAAAAATGTATTTTAAAGGTCCTAGGCATAGGTAAAGAAGGAATCAAGGTGAGCCAACACCCAGTAACGCAAATAAATGCCTTTAATGGAACTGGGTGCCCATTAGGCACAAACACCTATGCGAGGGGTGGCTTATATCTAGCAATGCCATGCTAATTTCAGGAGTTTCTTTAGTAACTAGGCCTTTTGATATATAATATATTATAATATATATATTAAATATATATATAGTAAATATATATAAATAAATAATATATGATAACTATTATATAATATATATAATATAATATTATATATAAATATATTATATATATATATATATATAAACTTCTAGTATTTAGGCCTTTGGATATCCATAATACATACTCAGAATCCTTACTGCGAGCAGGAAGACTGTTTATGTGATATGCGTCATAATGCCCCAACTTATACCACTGCTCTAGAATCAT